GAAAGCAACTTTGTGGTTACTTTGATCTTAGGGCAACTCTGTTGCCTGAAATAGAAGTCAGTTCTATTTCAGGCAACAGAGTTGATAGCACATCAAAGTAACCACAAAGTTTCCTTCAACAAAGTTGAATAGTGGATGGTGGGCTTTAAGGATACACTGGTAGTCTGGTACAGTTACATTGCATACAAATACAGACTTTTATTCATCACAATAGGTTAGTGGGTTATGTAAAGGAGAGTATCCGAATAGTACAAGAGTGAATATGCTTATGAATAATCAGATACAAGACAGTCTCGGTATATCAACACAAGTTAATGATCAATTGATGATTACTGGAGTAATAACTGTACCTAATAATTTAAATACATTTATTGTTAATGTATCACTGAGTAATAATGGAGGAGAATTCCTACCAATACCTTCTTTTGGATTTGGTAAAGATAGTTTGTACTTAAATATTCATTTACATACTTTTTTAGGTTATCTTGGACCAGTTACTAACATTGATTCTTCAATTGACAACTGTTCTACTATTGATATAACATGGACTGCTCCTACAGTTGATGATGGAGTATCTATACTCTATTATATACTAAAGATGTATGATGCTATTACTTGCAGCCTAGTGGATACTGTATCAGTATATGATACCAGTTATCAGTTTGTGGATAATAATTTATTCATTCATCGTTATACATATGTTATAACTGGAGTTAATGAATTAGGAGAAGGAATATCTAACAGTAATACATTCTCATATCAAAGAGGTACAGAGATAATCATTAATCTAAATTTATGATGTTTACACAGCTCCAAAATCAGTTAATGGAAATACTGTTTCTATAGAACATACTTTTCAACAAAATACATTTACTATTATACAGTTCAGCATACCAGTAAGATGAACTATTTATAGATGAATAATTGATTCTCCTTTTAAGGTGATGGTAGAATGCACAGGTGAAGCCCCTGATAGTGCTACGGTTACTGTACACTGCAATGAAACTGGTGGTATATATAGTAGCTCTTATATTATAGACTATACTAAGCAACCAAATAATATAACAGGATCAGTACCAGTACTTCAGTATCAGCGGTGTAATATCAGTATTGTATTTAGTAATGAGGCTGGTAGTAGTGAACCATTTATACTAGCATTTGGTCAGTTTACTATGTGTTTATAGTTCATATTACAGCATTAACAGATACATATCCTCTGTCTACTTATATCACTACTACTACTGCTGCTGCTACTACTACTACTGCTACTATTGTCACACCTGTTTCAACAACTCTTGGCATTAGTACTGGTTATTATGGTTAGTATAGAATTATTATAGTATTATGTATTTATGCATAGTTATTATTTAGTTATCACAGCAGGTGTTGTTATAATATTATCAATACTAATAATAATAATAAGTCTCATTTTGCTTGTTATTATATACAAGAGGAAAGCATTTGGTAAGGATATGTTCTACTTATAATTAATTATTAATTGCAGGGTCTGCCTCATTACAAAAACAGCAAGAGGCATGTGTACCTACTACACGCAATGAAGCATATGAATTCAACAATTTAGTGTTTACTACTGATAATAATCCTGCTTATGAAGAAATAGGAGGAAACAGAGGAGGACCAGTTAGCATGTGAATAATTGTAATAACTAAGTATTGATTTGACAATGGATTTTAGCACGGTGACTAATTAAATGAAGATGTGTGTTTTATTATAGTTTTGGCTGTTACTTTTATTTGAAACCAAATTATATTTAGTTTGTAATTGTAATTCTAAAATTGTAGTTTTTATACTTTCTCTGCACCAGCAGCTTTTGCTCCCAGTGAGGCTGCAAAACCTGCAGGAGTTGCTCCAAAGACAATGACATCATAACTGGTGCTGTCTTTGACACTTGAGCTTCTTTCTGTGTGCCTATTCAATGATGAACTGCTGCAGAGTGCTATTGCAACAGCAATTAGCACTAAAATAGCATAAGAACTATTAGCCATTATCTTTTTAGCATGATCAGGAAAGGTGATAGGGTGGGGCTGCATGTATGCATGATAAATCATAGATATTAGAGTATAGGAAATTAGAGTACGTTGTTGTTTCCTGTACTCTAATATTTATGAATAAATCAATGAATTCATTTTAATTAATAATAATTATAATACAATAGATGAGATAATGATTATTTTAATGATTTTGTATTACGTTACATTACATCTACTGTTTCTAGACACTTAAAATGTCTTGGAGGTTCCCACAATGTTGCATCCATCATATCTTGAGCCTGCGGGTACTTTTCATTCTCTTTCACAAACTCCTCAAGTTCTAGGTTTAGTACTTGTAGATCAGTGTGTATTGTACTCATATCCTTAATGCTCATTAACAATGCAAGAAATGAGAGTATGGCCCATGTTGCAAGGAAAACGGTTAGCCCAATTGTAATTGTGTGAACTAATTCTTCACCAGTGACGTATGGTATTACTGCAATAACAGTCACTTTCTCTTCCAAGCAGTACTTTGGATTTAGTTCCAGCTCGTTAAAACCAAGCTCATACCTAGGATCACACACGCATACACCGTCTTCCCATAGTCCATTGACACAGGTATCATTGCCCGCCATTTTGTTTATCGGTTGCCAGGGAGACAGAGGTTAGGCCGCGGGTTTTGGCGCGGAACTAGGAAGTTGCATTTTGAAGGCGTGGTTGGTGACACGCCTCCTCTTCATGAGAGGTGACTGATGGAAGAGAAAGAGAATGTGTTCCTTTCTTCCTCGCTAACAATAGAAGACCCTGATATATTAGTCGATCCAGAAGAGCAGAGAGCCTTCTACAGTTTCGTGAGGGAATGCGTGGTAAGATAACTAGAGCAATGATACTGGAATTACAATGTACACATGTATTTTAATGAACTCTTTTGACTGTATTTCATTGATGACATTCTCATTGCTTTTCTCTTGAAATAACTACATGTTTGCTGATGTAGCTAATAAAACCAGTAAACAATGATTAATCCAATTAAAGATGTGGGAGTTGTGTTTGGTACATTTCATGTACATGTACATGTATTTTTAATATGGCAGTGTTGTAAGTTATGCCTGTCAAGTTCAGGGTCAGATGATTCCCTGATAATATTCATAATGCTTCTATTATTGTGGCTAGCTGTGGTCTATAGATAGTATGCAGTTACTTCCTGTTTAGTACCTCTTCAACATAGCCATAAACACCTTCTACAATATACACGTATAGTGCATGACGTACATGTATTTATCATAAATACGCATCTATCATAAGTAGCCTTGTGCATGTACAGTCAAACCTGCCTATTATGAATAAGGACACCTATAATCAGGACAGTATATGGTCCTAAGTTGTCCAGAATAGACAGATTTGACTGACACATGTACATTTACTTATGTACCTATTTGTGCTACATGTGCATCTACAAACGTACATGTATACATTATCTGTGTTTGTTTGTGCAAGAAGCAATAGTACTACATGTCAGCCTCATTCACTCACTCTCTCTCTCACTCACTCACTCTCTCTCTCTCTCACTCACTCACTCACTCTCTCTCTCTCTCTCACTCTCTCTCTCTCTCACTCTCTCTCTCTCTCACTCTCTCACTCTCTCTCTCTCACACACACTCTCTCTCTCTCTCTCTCTTCCTCTCTCTCTTCCTCTCTCTATTAGATTAGTCTCCTCTTGTGCATGTGTGTGTACATCTGTGGCTACTCAATTGTTAAATATTTCAAGAAAGCAAAAGAGAGTGGAGCCTTAAATAGTAAGTCTAATCCTCGTAAATTAATTTCACTTTCTTTGTTTTTCCCTTTTAACCCTCAGATGAACAAGATGCCATAGTGTACAAAATAACGTAAGCAAATTACACAGTACATGTACATTCACATGCACATGTACATGTACATGTAATTTATCCTACGTTCCTTTTCTTTTGTAGTACGATATTGTGTGCAGTTGCTGTTTCTGTTAGTCTAAGTTCGGTCATTCTTCTCCCTTCCTCTATCATCAGTAATGAAATACGTCACATATATCCAAATACATCATACATCAGGTGGCTAGATACTTCACTCGTAAAAGGTCAGGATTTTTTTGGTGCATGTACATGTACATGCATACATGTACATGTATACAATGCATGTATTGTCTTTTATTCTCTAAAATATTATGATATCATTTGTCTTTTCACTCTTTTATGTATGTGTGTGTTACATGTATATATTTGGCATCACTGTATGATAATTGTGTGTGATAATGTGTTTGTGTACTTTACTGTAGGTTTGTGGAATTTGGTATTCCTGGGCTCTAATGTATGTTTGTTCCTGTTGCTACCGTTTGCTTACTTTTTCTATGAAGCTGAAGGACTTCCTGGAACAAAAAAGGTAATAACATGTACCTATGTACATGTACATGTACATAGGTACATGTACATGTACATGTTACTATAGTATACATGTCATGTACATGTACATGTGTATTAACATTGTACCACATTTATAATTATTTATTGTGTTTCCTGCTCTCTTTCCTTTGCTCTATCTCTTTCAGGGTATTATGTCTCGGGTGTATGAAGCAATAATAGTCTTACTAATGTTAGCTCTCTTAGTCATTGGAACTGTTTGGGTTGCTGATTCACTTACCCTTCACATTCACAGCATGTCCTTCTACTTGATGGTCAGTATTGTGAACTTTGTACTATAGCCCATGTTTTTTTCAAAAAATGGCTCCGAAATCACCCCCAATTTTTATTACATTTTCTGATACATATTGATGTACTTATGCTGTGTAGAAAGTTTGAGCTTATTCCAATTTCAATTTTTCAAGTTACAGCCATTTTAAGAAAACGTCAAGATTCTGAAAAATACCCAAGGCTATAGCCTTGTATAGCCCATGGTTTTTTTTAAAAACTGGCTCCAAAATCACCTCCAATTTTTATTACATTTTCTGATGCATATTGATGTACTTATGCTATGTAGAAAGTTTGAGCTGATTCCGACTTCAATTTTTCAAGTTACAGCCATTTTAAGAAAACGTCAAAATTCTGAAAAATACCCAAGGCTATAGCCTTGTATAGCCCATGGTTTTTTTTAAAAACTGGCTCCAAAATCACCTCCAATTTTTATTACATTTTCTGATGCATATTGATGTACTTATGCTATGTAGAAAGTTTGAGCTGATTCCGACTTCAATTTTTCAAGTTACAGCCATTTTAAGAAAATGTCAAAATTCTGAAAAATATCCAAGGCTATAGCCCATGGTTTTTTCCAAAAAATGGCTCCGAAATCACCCCCAATTTTTATTACATTTTCTGATACATATTGATGTACTTATGCTGTGTAGAAAGTTTGAGCTGATTCCGACTTCAATTTTTCAAGTTATGGCCATTTTAAGAAAACATCAAAATCCTAAAAAATACCCAAGGCTATAGCCCATGGTTTTTTCAAAAAAATGGCTCCAAAATCACCCCCAATTTTTATTACATTTTTTGATGCATATTGATGTACTTATGCTGTGTAGAAAGTTTGAGCTGTTTCCGACAAATATTTTTCAAGTTATGAGCATTTTGAAATTTAAACAATCCAACCCTGTACTAATAGTACACTACATGTTCAGGTATTTTGTTGATACATGTACATGTACATATACATGTAGTTGACCCATGTCTGCTTATATTATTTCTTTCTCTCTCTCTCTTTCAGGACATCAAAGGTCTAGTATTATACATACCCATACTCTATTCCTGTATGTCAATGATTGGTGTACTGATTACTAGCATGTGCACTCCCATTGGTTTCTCTAATCTCTTCACACTCCTTGGCACTATCATAGTACAACCTGAAGTAAGCCAATCCTACAGTACATGATTGAAAGCATGAGCTATTGTGTACATATTATGTACAATTGTACATGTACATGTATCTGTTCTAGACCTTTCCATTTTAAATATTTTCTATACTTAGTAGAAAGTATTATTTCGTCTTATTATATTGTACATGTACATGTACAATGTACATGTATTTTCTCTTTCTTTATAATGTACTGTAGCTTCATATTGATGTTGACCAGAGGCTTGAGAGCTTGCGCCTTGAAGAAGCTTCAATTAAAAGATCATGTTAGTCTCCAATCATCTGTATACATGTATACTTACATGTATGCCCCGTCCCCTCTCTCTCTGTAGCTTCTCTTACTGGTAGCAATTCATCCTTAGCATCTAGTAAGACAAGACAGTCCCTAGTTGATCTTTATGAAGAAAAGAAAAGATTAGGTACAGCAAACAATGTCTGTTCTATACAGAAACACTGACTTTTATCATTTTTAGAGCGTCATCGTCGCTCATCAGCTTGGGAGAGACACATACTCTATCCTCTTTGCTTCTTTTCCCTTCTGGCTCTCACTCTCTTCTCTCTTGTTCTTGTATTCTTTAATGTCCTCTCTCTTCTACTTCTCTCAGAACACTCACCCAAAGGAGCTCAAGTATGGCCACAAAATGTATTTTTTTTTAATTTTCATTTTATACTAGGAGCACATATATAGCCTGGGAGAGAAATCTGCCTCTTATCTTGGGCCATTGGGTGCACTAGTGGAAGTCATACTCATTGTGTATCCTATTAATGATCAGAATAATAATATTATTATATACAAATGTATTTTACAATGTAGAATATATTTTCTATAATACATACATGTACATGTACATGTACAGTACATGTATTTTTTCCATTTTCAAATTTTAATTGTCATCAGTTGTTATTTTGTCCTGAATGTTTATTGTTAGTTACATGACAGCTGCCAGTTTATTGGGATTCTTTAATACTCCACTGCTGAGGAGACTAAGACCACGACCAGGCGATACCTCCATGATAAAGGCAATTCCAATCACGATTAATTATTATTATTATTATTGTTATTATTATTATTACAGATTATCATTAACAGCATCATATTGCTGATACTAAGTTCTGCCATGCCAGTAGTTGTTCAAGTTTTAGGTAAGATTACAGATGGGTCTGCATTTTAACTCATTATGTGGGTGGTACAGCATTTGAGTATTGTACATGTACATATGTACATTGTATATTATTTAACGTTTAAATTAATTTCATCTGTTTATGTCCTTTAGGAATCACGAAATACAATCTTTTTGGGCACTTTAGCAGTATAGCGGTCCTTGGAAACTTTTGGCTACTATTATGCTACAACGTCACGTTCATCTCTTTAACCACATTGATACTCTTCACACGAGCGACACAGTCAATAGTTAAGGAAGTTACTCTTCTTTTTCGGAACAGGATCACTTCTCTAAGCATATTTAGCTCATCCAGAAGCAAGATGAAGTATCATACTGAATGATTCTTTTAAAGAGAACGTTTTCAATGGTGTGTCTTAGGCAGGGCCGGACGAGTGATAATCAATTCTTCTCAAATTATTCTTTCTTCCTCTTTCTCCTCCTTCCCTTCATCCCTTGCGCCTTTTGAACTTCTCACTTAATTTATTTTTAAAATTAAATTAAAATTTTACTACATGTACACGTGTATGTATTTGAAAAATTATTAATTTATTGATTCACTGTTCACAACTATTATTGTTTATTTTCCTCTGTCATGGCAGTGCTTTTGTCAATGAAAGAGTCACTTTGGCCTACTTTGAATTTGTATGAGGTGACATGCCTTTTTTCTAGCCCGCGCCATCTCATGTAAGCTGCTCTGATTTCTTTCTTATTAAGGTGCTTCCTTGTTTCTTGATCGAGGACAAATATGAGGGACACAGTGACACCAATCAAGCGATAAAATGTCACCAGCAATACAAATAAAATGTAATAGAAGACGTCACCCTCGTCTGGTTCTGTGGCATCATATATCCTTGAGATGAGTGGGAATATGCTTATGATCATGAATAGGATGGGATACCCTAACAGGGGACGTATCTCAGATGCTATTTTCTTTTGCAGCTCTTTTGTCTCTTTCCCCAAGTTTCCTGTTATCCATTGCTTTCTCTTCCTACGTGCTATACACAAGGAGAGGGCCAGAAGGACTGCTAGGACCAGCATAAGGAAGTAAAAGGGTATGTAGTACACGGAGAATCTGAAGTAGTTCCCAATATCAAATGTAGAACAATCCTCGTAATTTTTATTTCTTATCCAGCAGAAGATGCCAGCCGGGCCGTATGATAAATAAAGGAATGGTATCCATGAGATTACTAGTGGAGGAACTAGTATCCCAATGATGTATGGTATTTTGTACTTTTGTGTGTCTCTCTCAAATGCAACACGAATGAATACATCAATCATGATGATTGCAACACAATTTATCATCCACCAGTACACAGTCTGATCAAGAAACCCCATCACAACACAGTAGCCCCTTGATGCTGTATTAGTCGCTACATCAGGAGGCGTCACGTTGAAGCAATTAGAGACTGCATAGAAAAGACTTGCAATACAGAGATAAAGGATGAGCTTTTGACTGAAGTGCACATATTTCTTAAAGAGGACAATGATTGATATTGCCACTAGCAGACACAAGATAGAGGATATGGAGAATACAATGTTCATCACGGCCAGTGCTGTGTATCGAGGATCACTAAAGACATCAAAACAAGAAAGGTCAGGCCCATCTGTTTCATTGCTCTCATTGCTGTTGGACATCTTCTTCAAGAACAACTATGAAATAGTTTCGCTAGCTATTGATATGTACTATATGCATAGTGACGACTACTCCTACCTTAATGGACATACTGTACTGTTTTATTTACTATACTATTGTCATGTGAGCTTTAAGCTTAATTGAATTCAACTCTGCATGAGGCTGATGGCTCATAGAATGATATAAAAATAATTGTACTTTAAAAAGGAAACACAATGCTAATGATTATGTTGGTAATAATAATTAATTACTTATATTATGGAGCACTCATCCAAACCTAGATATCATTCTATGTATCTTTTTCAATCTTTATTGCTTTTTCCCTGCTATAGGAGTCACTCCGTCCAATCTCAGCTTCATATGCAACCACAGCATTCTTCTCTTTCCCTTTCCATCGCTGGATGGCTGCTTGGATCTCGACACAATTTAGTTTCTTCCTCGTCTCTGGATCAAGTGCAAAGATGAGTGCAATGATAACACCAATCAGACGATAGACAATAACCAGCAGATAGGAGAGTATAAAGTAGATAGTGCCATCTGTTTTAAAGATCCCATAGATCCTGAAAATGAGTGGAGTTATGCATATCACCATGAAAAAAACTGGATACCCAATCAAAGACCGGGTTTCAGATATTATCTTCTTTTGTAGTTCTATCGTCTCTTTCCCAAGGTTCCCTGTCATCCATTGCTTCTTCTTCCTTCGTGATATGCACAAAGTAATGACTAGAAGTATTGCCAGGCCAATCATTAAAGCATAGAAAGGAGCATAGTAGAGGGAAAACCTTAAAATGGCTCCTAAATTAAACACGTCACAGTTTTCATATTCTCTATCTCTTATCCAGCAGAAGACACCAGCTGGGCCATAGGATAGACCAATGAATGGTATCCATGAGAATACCAATGGAGGAGCCACTATACCAATGATGTATGGTATTTTGTACTTTCGTGTGTTCCTCTCAAATACAACACGAATGAATACATCAATCATGATGATTGCAACGCAATTTATCTGCCACCATAGGAACACCTGATCAACAAACCCCATGATAATGCAGTAAGCCTTAGAGACAGGATTGGTGTGTGCGTCAGCAGGTGTCACGTTGAGTACTGTGCTGAAGGAGAAGAGGAGACTTGCAATGCAGAGATAAAGGATCAGCTTCTGACTCAAATAGACATATTTCTTGAAGAGGACAATGAGTGCTATTGCAGCTAGCAGGAATATACTTGAGATTATAGAGAGGACTACGCTTAACACAGCTAATCCTATGAAGTGGTGATCATCATAAATATCAAAGCAAGACTGGTCAGTGCCATTGCTGCTGCTGTCATTAGACATCTTCCTGGAATAAACAGCTTGGCTGTGCTGTTGATAGTATTCATGACATAATAAAATGACTTTTATAAAAACTTATAGTACACTCCTACTCATTCACAAAATAGTAATAGATACCTTACAACTATATATAATAATAATCTACACTATCTTAGTGTATTCAGTATTTGTCGGTAATATTGAATCAGCTCTTTCTGTAGATTCGCCCACTAGATACTCTCTGATTGCAGCATCTTCTTTTCCACGCCATCTTCGAAAAGCTGCCTTTATTTCAATCCACTTCATTTTCTTTCTTGTCTCTGGATAGCTTAAAAAAGCGATCATTATAATACTCCCTTGAGTACTAAACAGTATGACAGTAATCAGTGATAGAACAAAATAGGTGATATCACTGGTACTATATATCCCATATACCCTATGAGCAAATGGTATTATATTTACCACTATGAATATAACTGGGTAAGCAAAGAGGGAGCGAACCTCTTTTTCCAAAATTTGCTCTAAATGTACCAACTGGTAATCTAATTGACTGTTTCTCCATTGCTTGTGTCTCTTTCTGATGATGCACCAAGTAGACAGAATCAGTATGAACAAGGCAAAAAAAAGAATGTAGAGTGGGCCATAGTAGAGAAAAAATCTTAAGTAGATCCCATGCCAAAAAAGAGGGCAATATGTTTCGTTATTAAAAGTGCGCTCTCGTATCCAACAGAAAGTTCCTGCAGGTCCATATGCCTTATAAATAAAAGGTATCCATGAAAAAGAAAGTGGAACAAATATGATTAATATAACGTAAAACAGCTCAAATTTCTCTGTTTGTCTTTTGAAGACAATCTTAATGAATATGTCAATCATGATTATAGTGACAGACATGAGCTCCCAGCAGAATGAAGCCTGGTTGAAAAAACCCACTGCCATGCACAAATCTTCTAAGGCTGAACTTGCATTTTGTGCTTCTCTTCCAAAGAAATTGATTGAATTGATGAGACTGTAAATTAAACTGCAAACAGCCACATAGAGAATGAGCCTCTGGCTGAAGAACTGGTACTCTTTAAAGAGCACTATCAGTCCTATCATACACAATAATAGGACACAAGAGACAGTAGAGAAAATAATCTGAACAACTACTAGACCATCATATTTCTCATTATCCAACATAGTGCAGTTAGTCGAGCTGTTAAACTCCATGATGATCTTACAAGACTGATAGTCAGCTCCAAAGTGACACTAGCTCAGCAGTCAGCACAGTCACTGTCAGTCAGCATTCACCTTTCTGCAACCGGAAGTGATAGATTAAACCGGAAGCAAATGAAACCGGAAGTGGAAACAGATTATTAAGAATATTTTATAGAAAAAATTATAGAGTAATCACACATTAAGCTTATTACTGTATTTCAAGTTTTTGTGTGTATATGATTGAGTCAAACATATTCTTAGGCAATGAATCACTGCGCCCAGCTTCTGCCCTATAATCTCTGATGCTCTCCTCTTCATCTTTCATGCACATTCTCTTTAACGCTGCAACGATCTCTTTTCGATTTAATTTCTTCCTTGTTTCTGGGTCGAGGACAAAAATACAGCAAATGAGTATCCCTTGAAAGCGATAGATGATAGTAGAAACAAATATTAGTACATCATAAATGGTGTCTTTGTCTCCTAATGAATCATAAAGGCTTGTTATTAGACCAAAGGTATGAATGAACACAAGAACAAATGGATAATAGATGAGAGAACGTATCTCTTCCTCCATTTTGCTTCTCATTCTCTTCTCTTCTTTCCGTCCTCCCCATTTCTTTTTCTTCCAGCGTACAAAAGAGAGTGATATCACCATTAGGACTATTATGGTAACCAGTAATGTCATAAAAGGGACGGAAAATATCGCAATCATAATGTAATCACCAATTAGAAAGTCAGAGCAATCCTCTAAGTTTTTGTTCCTTATCCAACACACAGCGCCGATAGGGCCATAAGCAAGGAAAATGAATGGTACCCAACTGTATAAGATTGGGGATAGGACTAACATTAAATAGAGCAGCTTTAGTTTCTCTGTCTGCTTATCAAGCACAGCTCTCAGGAAAATATCCAAAGCAAGGATGAAGTAAGCCATAATGATAGCCATTGTTGCCACTTGCTCAAAGAACCCAATCACATAGCAGTAATAGAGATCGGGCTTACTCCTGTAAGCAGTGAGAGCTGTAACATTCATAGATGCGACAACATCATAGGCCAGGGAACAGGTGGCAAGTAGCAATATGAGTTTCTGTGTGAAGAACACGTACTTTTTAAAGATGATTATAATAAAGAGCATGCACACAAGAAAGGAAGCTGAAATCAAGGAGAGCACAACCCTCAGTCCTAGCAGAACTTTGTACTTTGTTGCTTCGAAATCAGAGAAACAAGTTAGATTAGAGTCCAGACCACTACTGCTGTTACCCTCCATCATAGCAACAGTTCAGCAGCAGACTATTGTGGAGTGAGTAGGGCAGTACGACCATATAGGGATCTACTTAAAATAACTTCATTAATTTGTAACACACCAGTAGCTTCTATGGTTGTTTTAACCATAGACTATCAAACCTATTCCTATGTTTATATTTTAAAGATAAGCACATACACGTATGTGCATATAAGCACACATGTAATTTTAATGCCCACACCAATTTTCATAATTTTGTGTGCTTCTGAGTGAGCTCAAAAATTAAAAAACAAAATAAAAATAATGCATGTGCAGCGCTCAATAGTGTTGATCTACCAGTTTCCTATACATGCTATAGTGATGAATGGTAAACAGTTTACTCCCAGTTTAACTTCATATGCAAGCCATCAGGATCACAGCTTTCATCTTGAGTCACCGCTGCCCTATCGCGACTGGTTGAGCCGTAATTAAGGGAATCACTTCTACCATGTACTATTGAATAACTCCTAACAATCCCTCTTGATCTGCAGCAACAAGTCTGAAGGAATGCAGCGACGAATCTCTTCCAAGTGAGGAGTTTCCTAGTCTCCGGGTCCAGCGTAAACGCCAATGTTACCAGAACCCCTTGAAACGGGTAAATGACATACGAAATGACAGAGAGAGTGAAATAAGTTGTTAAATTGTGGTTAAGACCATCATGTTCACTTGAAGTTGCATCATTGATGGTTGCATAGAGTTGTTTGAGGAGTGGAAATACGTTAATTACCAGCACAATCAGTGGGTAGTAAATGAGTGGGCGTATTTCCATGGCAATCATCCTTCGAATAGCAATGGCTTCGGGGTCAAAATTACCAGACCATCTGCTCTTCTTTTTATGAGCAATGATGACAGCAGGGATGTACAAGGCTACCAGTAATAGCATTAGGAGTGTGAGAGGAACATAATAAAGAGTGTATCTTAGGATCATACCTATTTTAAAATAATTATTGCAATCGCTCAAATTGACTTCCCTTATCCAACAAAACATATCGTCAGGGCCGTAGGCATCGTAGTAAAACGGGATCCATGAAAAAATAAGGGGAAAGACAAAAATAATGAGCACATACCCAAATTCAAATTGACTCGTAGTCCTTCCACAAACTGCCTTTATGAATAAAGCAATGACAATACAGAAAGTAGCCATTATTGTCCACCATATTGTAATTTGCTCAGAAAAGCCAGCAACCTTACAGTATATAGTGATGAATGATGAAGTAGTGTTGTAGGCTTTGGTCCCATACAAATTGAGTCCAGCTGTCAAGAGATTGAGCATACAGCTTAAGGCAAGGTACAAGAGTAAACGTTGTGAGAAGAACTTGTATTTTTTGAAGAGGAGGATGATGAGTAGCATACAAAAGATGAAACCACACGAGAGAAAGGATAGGCCAGACCTTAAACCTAGGGCTATGTTGTACTTGGAGCTGCCAAAGTTAATACAACTCTCATTGGTTAAATTAGACATAATCCGCCGCCTTGGCGCCTTCTCCTGCTGGCTCTCCCAGGTTTCACTATAACAGCTGCATTCCTTATAAGGAATGCAGCTGTTATGATTACCTTACCCTATAGCAATGTATTCCTATAAAAAAGCTACATATTATAGACATGTATACTTTATTGAATTGTGCTGTTATATTTTCAATGTTTAGATATACCGTAGCACGTAGGGCGCCTTTTTTCGAGGGCTATAAATTTCGCGATTTTTTTTAAAAATTCGCGAAAATTACTTTCGCGAAAATCAAATCAATACGGTACAAGATGGCAGACGGCATAAATTCGCGAAAATTAAATCCGCGAAATAAAAATCCACGAAATTCATAGCCCTCGAAAAAAAGGGTGGTCACTATTTTACGGGACGGGACGGGACAGGACGGGACGTCCCGTCCCGTAGCCCTGCGTAGCCTAAAATCCGGGACCATAATTCGCAGGCATTATTATTATGATTATAATCATAGAAAACAGCAATAATAACTACCAGTA